GGGGCCTTTGTACTATTGTGCAAAACTTGGCTGAGTGTTCTCCCCACTATCTGTAAGGCTTGTTTACTCAGTTTTTCCTTTCTTGATTCAAAGGTCACCTTGTCAAGGAGGCCTTCCCTGGCCAGTATGAAATGTATCCCCGCTGAGGTTCCCACCCCCCACCCCTGGCTCTTTTCCTTCTTTGCATTTACCTATCTCTAAAATTATATTATGTATTATCGCATATCCTGTCGTTCTGTCTCCACTCATGAAACATGAGCTTTTTGTGGGCTGTGCTGCCTTGTTTGTTCACTACTGTAATTCTCGGTGCTTTTACACCCATGGTAACCATATATGTAAATATTTGGTGACTAAATGGATGAGTAAAATATGATGGGCCTCAAAATTTGCTATGGAAACATTAGCAAGTAATTGACCCCAGTCTAGGTCTTTTTTTTGGAGGGGAGGGGTCTGCATGTGAAATTATATGTCTAACTCTAAGTACTCCCCCAACCCATACCTTTGCCTTATCTGAAAGGCTGGGTTAACGTGAAAAGCTGGGTACAGTTGTGGTAAGAAAAGTTCTGGTGTTCTTTTTTCATAGCCTCCCTTTTGTTTATTTATTTTAGATAACAAATACAAATTGTATGTATGGTACAACAGATTTTGACCTTTTGGTTCAAGCTCTGACAGTCTCATTTGTTTAAGCCTTTGTTTTCACGCTAACAAATTGATAGGCCTCCACTCATTGAAGGCTAAGGGGAATAATAAAATACTGAAACAAGGACAGAGGAAGACCCATTGCAACAATGATACTCACAAGACACTATGTTGGAAATTAACTTTACAACTTTGGGGGGAAGGAGGGGAAGAGGTGGGGAGGGAAGGGAAGGTAGTAGAAAAACAAAGGAGTGGGTAACAATGCTTGACAAGAAATGGACACATTACCTTACTCATGTAACTGTAACATCTCTGTACAGCATCTTTACAATAAAATAAAATATTATATATATACATATATATAGATATATAAAATATATATCTATATATAAACAAAAAACCCCTCTGAGAGGCGATATATTCTTCATGACCACACGGTGGCGCAATCACCTCCCACTGTCTCTAAGATTAGGTTGTGCCAAGTCCATTATGAAACTGTAGCAGCTACTATAAAATAGGTTGGCCCACCACTGTGAGATGCTTGTTTAGATTTTTATTAGTTCATTAAATAGAAAATGATGAGAACAAAAGTCTTAAATTGATATTACTAAAGATAACAAGGCATAAATCTCAGAACCAGAACAAGGAGTTGAACTTTGAGCTAAGGCTTTCTGACCAACATGATTTAAAGACCAGATTTGGAAAAGCTGAGGAATCTAAAGAAGCCTATGCCAGTATTAGGTAAATGATGCTTGGTTAAATCAGATCATGCATCTGTCTACAGGCAACAAAAAACATGAGGCACTGGGAGAGGAAATGGATGAAGTGTTTGGGTTCCAGGACGATTTTTTTTTTCTTAGAAGACTGCTTGAGTCTCTGGTATTTTTTTTTTTTTTGCCAGTCCTGAGACTTGAACTTGGGGCTTAGGCACTGTCCCTGAGCTGCTTTTGCTCAAGGCTAGCACTCTACCACTTGAGCCACAGTGCCACTACTAGCTTTTTCTGTTTATGTGGTACTGAGGAATCAAATTCAGGGCTTCATGCATGCTAGGCAAGCACTCTATCACTAAGCCACATTCCCAGCCCTCTGATAAATTAAAAAAAAATGATTGTGGATAGCAAGTAACACCCAGTAAGCCTACAATTTATAGTGGATTTTATCCTTATGTCTATTATTGGATGTCATCTTTGATTCAGGTTTTGTTTTTCTTTCCTCTAGCATCTCTTTTGCTAACAATGATTATTAATTAATAAAAAACGGAAGATTTTGTATTCTTATTTCATTTACAGGAATACTCCATGGAAAATAAAGTAAAGGAAAGCAAGAAAAATAAGCTGTAGAGCTCAGAAATTTGAGATTTGGACATCACACACTCAGACACAATTGTGATGCATTCTATATACAGGCTTTTTCTACTTTTTCATTCATTATATCATAAACATAATTCTATGTCATTGAAGTATTTCCTAATCATCATTAATTACACGCAGTTTGTTTGTGGTAGCCACTCTTACTTTTGTTACATTGCAAATCAAAATTACATATTTATGGTGCACAACATGTTTTGATATATATGCCTATATATAACAATTGATATATTTTTTGTATCACGTACTTTTCTGCATGCTGAACACATAAAATTTATTCAGTTAAAAATTAAAGCATAAGTCAGGTGCCACTGGATCATATTTATATTCCTAGCTACTCAGGAGGCTGAGATCTGAGGATAGTGGTTTGAAGCCAGCCCCAGCAGGAAAGACTGTGAGACTCTTATCTCTAATAAACTACTCAAAAAAAGCCAGAAGTGGTGCTGTGGCTCAAGCGGTAGAGAGCAGCCTTGAGCAAAAGAAGCCCAAGAACAGCACCAAGGCCCAGAGTTCAAGCCCAAGGGCCAGCAAAAAATAAAAAGCAAAAAATAAAGCATAATTTGGTGCTGCATCCCAAACTCAGCACCATGGCTGCCTACAAGCTGGTGTTGATCTAGGCGAGAGCCCCTGGAACCTAGAGAATGGCTTTCGCACATGTTGAACCCTGTGGGCCAAGCGGTGGCAAAGCGTGGCAGGCAGGCTCTACGAGATAGATTCTGGCTATGATTTTGACATCTGCTTCACCTCAGTGCAGAAATAAAGAATTAGGACCCACTGGACAGTATTGGACACCACTGAGCAGCTGCACTTGTCAGTCATGAGGACTTGGCGCCTCCATGAGCGGCACTGCGGGCCTGACTGGCCTCAACAAAACAGAAACTGCTGCTAAGCATGGTGAGGTCCAGGTGAAGATCTGGAGGTGCTCCTAGAATGTCCCACCACCTCCAATGGAGCCTGACCATCCCTTCTGTAGCAACATCAGTAAAGATCGCAGGTAAGATCTCACTGAGGGTCAGCTACCCTCCTGTGAGAGCCTGAAAGATAACTATTGCCAGAGCACTGCCCTTCTGGAATGAAGAAATTGTCCCCCAGATCAAAGAGGAGAAAAAGGTTCTGATTGTAGTCCACGGCGGCAGCCTCCTGGGCATCATGGAATTGAACCTGCCAACCTGTATTCCCATCATTGGTGAACTGAACAAGAACCTAAAGCCCATAAAGCCCATGGAGTTCCTGGGGGATGAAGAGACCATGCATAAAGCCACGGAGGCTGTGGCTACCCAGGGCAAGGCCAAGAAGTGAAGGCAAGCAGGCCAACTGCCACCCCATGGAACACCTTCCCTGCCCACTCATTGCTCTGCACCTCACTCTGACCACATCTGTACATCTTAAGCAGTAGGTAGCTGCAGATGGGGACCAGCGGCTCCCATTTGTATTCTTAACATTGTCTCTTGCACCTACTACCTTCATAGAATCTAGTCAGAATGGCACCTTTGGGGTGCAGGTTTTCAGCCTGAGCCCAGGGAAGGCTCCTCTTAAACTCAGGAGGGTTGAGAGACAGGAGTTCTAGTTTTTCCTAGTGCTTTGTTTACTAAGGACCTGCTTGAGTAGGGGTTAGGGAGGAACCAAGCCATGGCATGACCAATGAGAAGCCAGAATTCACTGTGAGCCAGCACCCAGTCCTAAGCTCTGATCCTCAGGTTCTGGTTGAGGAGGCTGGAGTCATTCCAGTGGAAGGTAAAAGTGCCCTCCATGGAGATTTCAAAAGAGCTATTTCCTCTGACTCCAGAGGTGCTGGCTCCAGATGGTTGCTATCAATCCTGAACTACATTTTTGTGTTACATTCACATTTACAAAAAAAGAGGAAATTTTATATATATATATATATATATATATATATACATTATTGATATCTATACTGATATATACACATGTATATCTGTATTACTGAACAAAAACCCTTCTAGAGTTTACAGTGGCAGTTGAAATAGTGCCACATGTGGCCATCCCAAGATGAGCCATTCCTCACACCAATGTGGAAAAGCTCCTTGGCCTCTGGGAACAGGAGTGCTTCCTGTTTTGACTTAAAATCCTCCTACCTTGTTCTGTGGCAGTGTATCTGGTTTTCCAGTTGCTTAGCTCTGCCACATGGACCCTATGCTCATTTTTAGCATAACTACTAAATCTTTCTTCCAGATCAGTGTGATTAAAGGAGTGATGTGAAAAGAAATGAAAGCATAAAAGACATCATTTTTACGTTCACTATGTTACACAGTAGCTCTCTTGTCAATATTCCTCTTTTGTAATTGAAATGTTGTGTGCTTTGGCCAACATCTCCCTAATTTCTCCATCCCCCAGACTCCTTCCATTTTACTGTTTTCCGGCATCGGCTTTCTTAGATTTCCCCATAAAAGTGGGATTTTATAGAATTTTTCTTTCTGCATCCAACATACTTTTCTAATGTGAAAATCAGTACCTGTAATGGTAGGAAACACTAAATAGGCCAGGACAAAGAAAATAATCAACTCTAATCCCATCATTGAGATTGAAATATTTGTTGTTCACATTTTAATATCTTTCTTTCAATAACATTTATGCATTTTTTCTCTTGCTATATCAATTATTTTAAAATAACAGAAGATTGGTTTCTACTTTTGTTTCTCACTTGTGTGGTTATTTTTCTGGTCATTACATGTTCTTTATCTCTTCTTTTGATTCTACCTATTTGGCACCCCGTGACAGTAAGGCTTACATGAAGGCCTTGAAGGGCTAGCACAGTCAGTGGCGTAATTTCAGAGAGCTGTCCCAGAGGCTCAATATGCCCCCAGCCTGCATGAAGCAGACATTCACTCCTTGATTTAAGGCTCTGATCCTTGTTCAAATGCAGCTCTCCAGAGAGTTCATTCAAAACAACCCTCTTCCTTAGTCTGTTTTCCTTCTAAACTAAGGTTTTCCTAAGAGATAGGAGGGAGAGGGAAAATAGGAGAGATTCCTTACCATTCTGGTGTTCTAAAGCAGCAACCATTCTCAGAAGGCAGGAATAAAAATACTGTCAACTGTAAGAAGAACATGTATAAATAACTGAGCACTTATATGTTAGTTACTGCCAGGGGACCTCTTACTTCATCTAACCTTACAACCCTATTTTATACATCCTCAGTAAAAGCTCAGAGAGGTGAAGTGCTTCATCCATTATATATTCTCCTAAACCATTTGCTTAAAATCACACTTGATACAAAACGGAGCATATGAATTAGCATCTAAGAGTCATTTACTTGAGAATTAGAGCATAAGAAACAAAAGGAGAATGCTGACCACCTTCTCCTGCTCCTCCTCCTGCTCCTCCTTCTTCTTTTCCTTTAAAGAAAGGTTGATGTTTGTACCAAAGTACTGATTTAACATGATTCCCAAAAGGACCAATGGAAGAATGACACTCATCACTCATTCATATCAAATGATAACTAGGTGCTAGAGTCTATATTAGGCACAAAATACACATACATCATGGGTGGCTAGAAATAAGTATTATTATTCTAATTTCCAGATGAAGGATTGAAGGCACTGGAGAAGAGAAGTATCATTCAATATCCAAATTTAAATTTGAATCCAAGAATTTAAATTCAGAATCCAAAGCAAAAAATGGGTCATTTCTGTAATTAGTTATCTATTTTGCCAATCCTGGGGTTTGAACTCTGAGCCTGAGCGCTGTCCCTGGGCTTCATGCTTAAGCCAAGCACGACTTACAGCTTTTTTGAGTAGTTTATTAGAAATAAGAGTCTCATGGAGTTTCCTGCCTGGGCTGGCTTCAAACCAAGATCCTCAGATCTCAGCCTCCTGAATAGCCAGGATTACAGATGTGAGCCACCGGTACCCAGCTTCTTCTATTTTTTTTAGAAAAACCTTAGGCTTAGCTTCTTACCAAGAGATCTTTGCACTTTTCTAAGGTACATGTTTCTGAGGAAAATGTATAGAGAAAAGAAAGAGATAGACATGTTGAATGTTTGCTGGGTGATAAGAAGCATGCTTTTGGATGTCTTATTTAATCCTATAAACATCCATGAAAAAGAAGATTCTATTATTATACCTATGCCAAGATGAGGAAACTGGGGTTCAAAAAAGGATAAGGCTACCTCTCTCTCTCTCTTTTTAAAGGATAGAGTGAGGATATATCATGATTTTTAACCCAAGTCTAGTGTCAACCTGAATCTCTGATTGTCATAATTTTCTCTTGCTTTGTGCTAATCTTTCCAGTGTGGTAGGGGGAAAATGTTCCTTTTGGGGTGACATTTGTCAGCTTCTCACTCAGGAACCTAACAGTAGTAAAATTTGGTAATTCCACCTGGATTTCAAAGTCTCAAAATCTTGTTTAGTCCCTTTTTTGCTCTGTCGTCTTCCCTGGTTAGATTTTTTGTTGTTGCTGTTTTTTGAAACAGGGTCTTGCTATTGTAGCTCAGGCTGGCCTCAAACTGGTGATTCTCTTGCCTCAGACTCCCTCTAGCTAGAATTTCTACCAATGCCTATTATATTAGTTTCAAAACCTATGACTTCTACTGTCCATCAATTAAATTAATTAATATCCTTCAATGCCCAACTTTGACCTCTCCAAATCTATTCTAGAGGTATTACTTAGTCACTGTGCAGCCCTGCTCAAAACCTTCCTTCTATCTGCTGCATAAAACCCAGACTTTCTAGGCTGGTATCCAACTCAGCCATTCAAGTGTGACTACTTCCTGAGAGTCAATTAGGTGACAGGAATTCTCTAGGTGCTGGGAAAACTGCTGAGAACCAGATAAACCAGTTCCTGCCTTTATGGCAAACACACTTGGCATTAAATAATTACAAATAATCAATTAAATAATTACAATGATGAGTCAAATAATTACAAGCTCCTCTACAACTTGTTTGCAATCCATCTTTTCTGAGTTCTTTCTCATCCTTTGATTCCATCCACATGGACTCACTTTCCTACCATTTCCCATATCTATGGTTGTTCCTATTCCCTCCTTCCTTTCCTGAACCCTAGCTCTTTCCTGCTCTTCCCCACACCCCTCTAGGAATTTCTTTCTTGAAGCCCTGTTGGGAAACTGTGTTCTAAAGGCTCTTTCCTCATGTGAATTCCTAGCACTTATCCATTCAACAAATATTTACTGAATGACTTGCTGAAATGTTTAATGAATGAATCTTCATGAGATCTTAAATTCCTGTTGTGGTACTAAAGACTTAAATAACACAAGGAGTTAGTTGCCTATTTCTAAGGGATCAAGGATTATTTTCCTCATCTCTTCTCTCAAAACTACATAAACCATAAAAAATTATAGACAAGCAAAATGACAATAAAGATAATCCAACTGCTCATAATACTACTAGTTGAACAGACCCACCAGACATTTCTTCTGATATTTTATTTCTCTGTGTCTATACCTAATTTGTAAAACTCCTTTCTCTCCTAAAGGTAAATTTTATGAAGAAAATCAATTATCATCTGAATACCGGTAGCTCATGCCTGTAATCCTAGCTATTTGGAGGGCTAAGATTTGAGGCGCACAGTTCAAAGTCATAGCAAAGTCTGTGAAACAGTCAGAAATGGAGCTCTTGTTCAAGTGGTAGCTGTTGTTCAAATGCCAGTCTTGAGGGGGAAAAATTAAGAAACAGCATGCAGGTCCTGAGTTTAAGCCTCAGTACTGGTACAGAAAAAAAGAAAATCTTTAAGATCATAAATTCTCTTCTGTGTTTCTAATACTTTTGTCTTAAAAAAAAAAGTCAGAGGGCTGGGAAGGTGGCTGAGGGGTAGAGTGCTTGCCTTGCATGCATGAGGCCATAGGTTTGATTCCTCAGCACCACATAAGCAGAAAACCTGGAAGTGGTGCTGTGGCTCAAGTGGTAAAGCGCTAGTCTTGAGCTGAATTGCTGAGAGACAGCGCCAAGGCCCAGAGTTCAGGCCCCATGACCAACAAAAATAAATAAATAAATAAATAAATCAGAGAACTTAGACTCATCTGTATCTTCTCCAGTTCATCAATCCTATCTACAGTAAGAACTGAATATTAGTTGAGGGCATTTACTTCAGGGATTTTCTCAAGAACTACTCTGGATACTCGTTTGAAGAATACTACTTACCTCTCATTTTTAAGACCTTCAATGTGTAGTGTGCTGGATTTATAATACAGCCATATTCACCAGCAAAGCACAGAATGTCGGGATGTCCAGTCATGCCCTTCACTTTTTCCTCAAGCACTTTCCCAGGGTCATGCAATTGATTGCTGATTTTTTTCAAAATGTTTTCTAATAATAAGCCCCAAACTAAAATTAAACAATAGTCAGAAGTGGCATGATGGTACACGCCTATAATCACAGCATCAGGAGCCAGAGGCAGGACAATTTCAAGTTCAAAGCTACTCTGGACTACATAGTAAGACCCTGTCTCAAATAAAAACAAACCAACCTATCTACCTCAGTGAAATAGTAACTCTTGCTTAATTTATTTGTGTCTGTTCGAGCTTCGGAAGGGGAAAAATTTTGGAAGACATTAGGCTACATCCTTAAGTATCGGCTCATTTTTAATATCAGAATATATATATGAAGCACACATCGCTCCGGTAGCTTGAAAGCACAGTAGAAACAGGGGCCACCGATCTAGTCTTAAGGTTTGAAGAAAAAAACAAACAGCAGTCTGAGCTAGGCACCGGTGGCTCATGCCTGTAATCCTAGCTACTCAGGAGGCTGAGATTTGAGGATCGTGGTTTGAAGCCAGTCTGGGCAGAAAAGTCCCGATGAGACTCTTACCTCCAATTAACTAGTTCAAAAAACCGGAAGTGGAACTGTGGCTCAAAGTGGTAGTCCGCTAGCTTTGAGCACAGAGCTCAAGGTCAGTGCCCAGACCCTGAGTTCAAGCCCCACCACTGAAAAAAAAAATAAATAAAAACAGAGTCTCTATATAAAGAGTTGTAGAAGGCCAGGCCTTGCTGTAGTGCAAGGCTCCAGCTTGCATACCTATATATCTACACAGTCACAGACAGACAGACAGACACACACACGTTTTTCTTGATGTGATCTCTATAGGCGTCACCACCAGTGGAGGTGCAATTAAAAAACAGGCAAGAGAAACTCCAAGTGGAGTCGAAAAGAAGATTCTCATCAGAGTCCACAGCTTTCTTAACCTCAGCTTAAAGCCCACACAGATGGTCTGTGACCTTTCTTTTCTGGCCTTCTAAGGCCACAGTGGTGTTTAACTCTTGACTCGGAAAGGGAGAGCTGCAGGCAAGTCTTTATGAAGGCCAGAAGCGCAAAGCTCTCCTAAGGCACTTCCCAACGGAACAGAAGTGCTTCACTGAGGGCGAGAGGGGGCATCCAAACTGGTCCGAGGGTTGGACTAAGAGGCAGATGCGAAAGGTGCAGAGTCAATTGAAAAGAGACTTTTTTTTTGGGGGGTGCACCCCTGATCATTCCTGTGTCCCCTTCTGCAGGCCCCTCGGGGTGCAAACACCGTGCACTCCAGAAGAGCTCCAACCCACCTACCGCAAACAAAAGGAGCGACCTCCCCACCAGCCTTTTCCTCTGAATGAACGCCCGCCGTCACCCTTCAGGACCCACCCTTCGCTGCGGACGTGCCCAATGAGGCCCGGCCTTCCTCACGGCGGGAGGTGTCTAACTCTCCCCGGAAACGGACAGGTGCGGCGGACCAATGGTTGGAGTCACAAGCGGGCCAATGAGCGAGAGCGCTGGGTCGACCTGGGGTTCGAGAATAGGAGAACCCTCCAAGAGGGTGGGACAAGGGGCGGTGCGACCGTAATGCAGAGGGGTGAGGGAACCTGCGAGGCCCGCCCAACCGCGGTGGTGGGGGGAGTGGGAGGGGAGGAGGAGAAACCCGGGGTCGGGTCATCGCAGCCAATGGGAGGACGGCCTGATGCCGGGGACGGGGCCCAGGCCTCTAGCCCCGCCCCTCAGGTCTGCAGGGCTGGGGCGGAGCCAGGCCTGCGTCAGGTGGTCCCGGGCGTGCGGGCGGCGC